GACTACTTTCACAGCCAAAGATGGAATACGCACATATGGATCACGCACGCAGCATGCAACAAATAAAAAAAATTCAAAGAACGAGATAAGTGGAAATCTTTTTAAAAAAACAACAAACGACTGTTTACAAAAATCTACGCCTGGAACCGCCGGGTGACTAGAAACTGCTCTTTGGCGGTTTCCTTTTTTGCACGACAAACGATCCCTTTCACTTTTCCGACTCCATTTGCATCTTCTTCCTCCAAAGTTTCTCGCCGGCCACAGTTCACCACCGCACACCTCCAGCCATGGACGAAGGGAAAATAACAACATTCATCAAGCACATCACTACCCACGGTACAACCGTGCTGGAGGTGGTGTACACCAACGACCCAAGGACAATGGAGCGGATAATCAAAAAGTACGAGGAATGGCTAAAGGAGGAGAAGAACAAGTTCGTCGGCCTCGACCTCGAGTACAAATGTAAGAGCAGTTACATACGACAAGGGATCGCCGTCGTCCAACTTTCCATGCGCGAGCATGTCCTTCTATACCACTACTGCAGGTCCGAGCGCTTCCAGGCGTTAGTTGACTTCCTACAACGGAAAGCGGTAACTTTCACCAGCATCGACACCAGGAACGACAAGACCATGCTTGCCCGTGCATGCATCAGAATTCCAGACGAGCACCACGTTGACATCCAGAGGCTATTCTGCATCAAGGGTGGTGGAGAAAGGGACTCCATGGCTGACCTTGCAGCGGCCATCATCGACCCCTCATACAAGAACATGAAGAAATCATTCCCACAGGAGAAGCACTAGTTCTGGGAGTGGAAGCCGCTTTCCCCGATACACCTTGAGTACGCGGCAAAGGACGGGTATGTTAGCTACGAGTTGTACCGTAGAATCCTAATCATCAAGAACGGGCTACGTCACCTCCACCAACAACCAGTGAAAGAAAGACTCTGCCCACGTAAGAACAAAGACGAGGGATCTTCCAGCGGCTGGAAGCGCCGGAAGGGAAGCAGCGGTTGGTAAATTGCGAGAAAATGGATCGTGCCGTGATTGATTGATCTGCCATGATCAAGTGATCAGGTGCGTGGCATAACTATTATGATAATTTAGGTTGAATGAACCCATGTTGTAAATATGATTGTTCTTGCTCAAAGATGTTGTCTGTATTGTATTACTATTTTACGTCTGAACTTTGAACACAGTGGTGTGCGTGTCTAAATGTAATTAGTAAGTTATGTCCCAGTATTGAGCAAGCATATATTGTATCCATGACTATAGAACGAGAGATATGTCGCATGACATTGTATTATAATTTTCATACTCAACCTTTACAAGATGCATCATGCATTTACAAGAATATGTGATGGTATTGTTGCAAACTTTCAGTAGAATGTTTATTCAACATTGGCATAAACAATTCATAAATATTGCAGAAGAACATTCGGTACACAGACGCAAGGGACAAGAACTTTTTTACTTTGACCACACCGTCCATTCACAGGTTCCTCTCCGTACACCAGTCCTCCACGATGCCACAAAACTACACTACCTTTTACAACTGACCCATGTACAACCGTGCCTCTCTAAGTGTAAACTCAACCCATGCCTCTGGTGCCACGCACCCATGACCTTAGAGACTTCACACCTGTGCATCTACAACCGAGCCTCTCTAACCAAATATTCGAACCGATGCCTCTACTGACATACATCCGTGCCTCAAGACACTTGACAGCAGCAAGAGGGTTCAAAACCGTGCATCCACACAACCGTGCTTGGACTGACTGCACTTCGGTGCCTCCGTTTGCTCGATCGACATGCCTCACATGAAACCCACAGTAACTCTACGTGCTCCACGCGACTGATCGCCTATGCCTCCACACAACCGTGCATGTACTAACTTCAATTACGTGCCTCCATTTCCTCAATCAACGTGCCTCACATGAAACCCACGGTAACTCTACGTGCTACACACACACGTGCCTCTCGCATGAAACCCACAGTATCTCTGCGTGTTAGGCACCCGTCATCGCCCTTGTAACTTTGGTATTGCACACACGTTCCTCTCAGTATACCCGTGTTCCAAACAACCGTGCATGTACTGACTGCAATTCCATGCCTCTGTTTGCTGAAACCACGTGCCTCACATGAAACCCATGGTAACTCTATGTGCCTCCACACAACCGTGCCTGTTCTGACTTCAATTCTGTGCCTCAGTTTGCTGAATCCAGGTGCCTCTCACATAAAAGATATGCACAGCCATGCCTCAGAGTAAACAACACACGTGCCTCTACTGTATTTATAACTTTGACGACAATTAAATAACATCCGTCCAAAAAAACATCATTAAAAGAGATGCACAGCCAAGCCTCTTATACATCAAAACCCATTATGTTCAAAGGCTATAACTAACATCACTGCGGCAGAAGATTGAAGATAACAACAAGCCTCCCAACAAGCTGTTTGAAAGTTATCAGCACCAAGCTGTTTACTTCAATAGACGATGCCTGAAGAAAATCACTGAAACCTTCCTGTTTGAACACCATTCTATTACCCAAACCAATGAAGTAGGAGCAAGGAGTGCTCACATATATATCATCATCACCAGATTCCAGAGTAACTTCAAGAGTTAAAACGCCAGTTCTAGGAAAAGTCACAAACTCCTTCAAACTCCTCACAACAATACCAGGAATAACCTGGCAAAAAACATCAAGCTATCAGAAATAGAATAAAAATTCAAAACTATAAATAGAAGACGTAATAAAAATAAATAAATAAACAGAAACAAAAAAACAATGGGAAAAAAATCTGACCATATGATGACCATTAACATTCATGGAATCAATCCTGTGAACAAAAGGACAACAGGGTATGCAGTCATCATCAAATAGTTGACACCTCATGAAATACATCTGCTGATAATTAGGAAAAACACCACGGGTGTAATAACAACTCCCAACAAGCTCCTTCTCGGAGTCGCTCAAACCATGTAGAGCTACAAAATATAATTACACAGGCTCAAGGGAACAGAAAAATCAAAATGTACAATAAAACAAGATAAAAACTTCCTTAAAAATAAACCTTACCAACAGACGGTAAAGAAGACAACGCATCTCCATGACCAACACGATAAAAATCAATACCAATCCAAGTTCCATAATGTTCAAGCCTAATGGTCATTATATCACGAGGAAGAACACCATAATCACTGACAAATCGTTCCCAGGAAGGACCATGGAATTTGCTCCTCACACGACCATGACTAAATAGAACACCATACAAATAACCCTCATTGCACTGAAGAGCCAGATCAGTATCTTTGTCACCCCTCCTTATGGCTAAAGCCCTACACTCCTCGATGTAACGAGCAAGATGAGCTCTAACACTGCACGGAACATACTGCACAACAAATCAAAACAAGGATCATAATCAAAATCTAAACAACATGGGCAGCACCAAAAGAAATAAGCGTGTGTGCCAAAAATTGAACAACTATAAAATGATTTCTTACAACACGCCTCTAACAACGCCGATGCAGGACCATACTGAAGCCATCTACAGAAGAATCAACAGAAGAACACGGGCCACCAGGCATACGGCAAAAAGGACAAGCCATAACTGCAAGGAACACAATGGTTATCAACAACTAATCCCACAAAACCCAGTTGAAACTTGACATCTGATAGTGTTTGTAATCCCCACCCGTAACTACCCCATAAATCTCCATATCCCGGAAATATAATGGGAACAAAAAGAGAAACGAGAAAGGGAAACAGGGAACCCACAAAGGCAACCAGTAGGGAACGACGATATCGCGAACGGGGAAGCGCGCTCGACGCTAAAGAAGGACTACCGTAAGAGCAGGCAACAAGCGCGGCGGCTGGAACAACTGCCGCCGTAACCACGCGACAAGAGCAGCGGCGGCGACGGGCGGAGATGACGGCAAAGAACGAACAATGCGCGACGAGGGTTCGCCCACAACAGAGAGAAACGAGAAACAGATCTCAAAACAGATCAAAAGGTATTACAAAACATTAGAAGTATAAGAACTAAAGTGAAAAAAAGAAAAACCATAAAGGGAAACCGGAAACCAGAAATCACGCAAGAAGCCGTGCGCGCGCCAAGTGTCACGCGCGGAGCACATCCGAAAAGTCTCGGGAGCGCTCCGCGCATGACACTTGACGCGCGCGAAGCGCTCTCCGACTAATCGTTGCGGGGAGCGCTCCTCAATTATTGATTTCGCCGTGTTGAGGGCGCGGGTGCTCTAACATCATTAAGTTGGATGGGCTGAGGCAATCCCACTTAAGCCCACCCCCGCCTGCAGCCTGACCGGCGTGGTGACTCTATCCTCCCGTGCAGAGGAAGGCTTTCTATTAATTGCTCATCTAATTTCTCCGCCCTACCTAGATCGTCCGTGTCTTCCAGTCCAGAGCCGCCGCCGCCGGCAACAGAGCACCGTCGCGACGCCGCCGGAAAATTGCCGCCAGAGCCCGCTCCAGAGTAAATCCTATCGGCTCTTTCCGTCCATTCTCTCCTTTGGTTTAAGCCGGTAGATCCGTATATATAGATCGCCGGAGCAGTTGTTTCTTCTTGCGCCAAATCCGTCGCCCCATCTGCGTTCTTCTCCGTAATCACTGGAGCTTTTCTTTGGTTTCCCACCGCAACTTCTACTGCTGGGCTTTGAGCTCATAAGGATGTTGCTTTTTATATTTAGCGAATTTTCCGTCTTAGGTTTGTGTAGATTTTACAATTAAAATGGTTATAATACTATCTTTTACATTTTAGATACGTGTAAATGATACCTAACAATAGATTTTTCATAGCGTCAAGGGGCGCAACAATTTGTTAGTGCAAAGATATGGGGAACCAGCACCGACGATCTTTGTCATAGAGGAACATAACACCAAAATATCACCCGGAGTGATTTCTTAGCAGACCCCTTTTCTTCTTTTTCGAGCGCTGTACTAATGTTTGATTCTTCTTGGCTTTTCCTGTCAGCGAGCAATCAGCATGCCGGGCAGCAGCGGCGTGACCGCCTTCGACGACCTGCCTGAGTGGCTCGTCCTCGACGAGATCCTTGTCCGCTTGCCGCCCAAGGACGTACTCCGCTGCCGTGCCGTTCGCAAGTCGTGGCGCAGTGGCACATCCACTCACGCGTTCATCCTCGGACACCGCCGTCACCAGCCCTTGCTCCCCATCATCCAACACAAATTGGGCATATGCCGCGTCGTCAGAGGCTCAAATGATCTAAAGATACGGCCTGTCATCCGGTATGATGACTCCTTTGAAAAGTTCCATCTCCAAGCCGCCTGTGATGGCCTCCTCATCGTGTCGCAGCAAGCCAATTTCTTCATCTGCAATCCAGCCACCCACAAGTGTGCTCCCCTGCCATGTCCTCCACTACGGCCACACTTCAATTTCATCGACATAGTCAGCTTCTACAGGCACCCCACATCTGGAGAACACCGGATACTCTGGGTGTTATACACGATACCCGTTAGGATTCACGACGCATTTCAGTTGCCTGATTACTTTATCCTCGCGGTGGGATCGAGCCAGCCAAGATGCATCCAATGGCCGACAGTTTCAATACAAAAGTATCTTCCTGCTACCCCGTCTGCCGACTGTCCGCCAGTCCACCATCGCCGTAGCCTACACTGGCTAATGGGCCTCAACATAATAGTATTTGACACCGTAGCCGAGACATTCCGGCAGATGAGCCGCCCAACGCAGTTTGGCGATATGGTGTCATTGTTGGATATGGGCGGCGCCCTTGCTTTGTGCCACACCGCCCCTGACTGTGCCACATTAGATGTTTGGGTGTTGCAGGACTATGATGCTGGGACCTGGGGTTTTCGCTTCCGGGTTGACCTGTTAGGGATGGAGGCATCACCACCGGTTCATTGGATTTTCCAATCTATCCCTAGGATGGTTCTGATCAATGAGCGTGAGCTGTTGATCCAGCGGCATATTCATCATCTGTTGCATTGTGACATTGATGGTGTGTTTTTAGGTAATGTGGAAAGCGAAGAGCGTTTAGCCTGCTGGACACTTACTCGGCATTGCCTCCAAGAGAGCATGATTTCACTTCCGTTGTTTGAGATGCAAGAAGAAGAAGCTGTGAACCAGGAGCCTCCATTCTCCATTGTGTTATAAAGATGCCGTGCTCCATGTTAATGCTTTGGACTAGTTGGCCATGCTTGTATTCTTACCATTCAGTACTTCGATGTTGTAACTTCTAAACAAGAAGAAGAAGCTGTGAACCAGGAGCCTCCATTCTTACCTATTGCTTTTGGCATCTGGTCGCGTGACTCTTTGTGTCGAGATGTCTTTTTTCAGGTATATTTGAGAAGCTGGCTGTGATTTTGTGCTCACCATGGTTTTGTCTCTGATTGTTACTACAGCAGCAAGTAATTTGATCACCGCTACTGTTTTGTGTCTGATTGCTGCTTCAATACAGCTATTGTTAAAAAGAAATCGGCAAGTACTTTCTTTCATTGACTAACCATTCGGAGAAAGGAGCTTTGCTGTTGCTTTTATGTCCAGGATTTCCTTTCTTTTGGAAGGAATAACTTACAACATGTGGTATCTTAATCATCATCTTGTAGTGATGTAGTCTGCTGGAAGGCTGGTGATAGTGGTGCCTCGAGGATCCGCGGTGCAGGTAAAAATGTCCATTCGGGCCACCAAACGCATCAAAGCTGCATCTGCGCTCATGCTGTGCGGACCCATCAATGGTTTTGTGTTTGATTGTTAATCCAGTATACATGCATTGTCAAAAAAAAAAATTGCTACGAACTACTCCCTCTGTTCCTAAATATTTGTCTTTTTAGAGATTTCAAATGGACTACCACATACGGATGTATATAGACATATCTTAGAGTGTAGATTCACTCATTTTGCTCCGTATGTAGTCACTTGTTGAGTTCTCTAGAAAGACAAATATTTAGTAACGGAGGGAGTATTATTAGTTGACTTTCACCTGTTGGGAGAAAAGGCTTGGTACTTTGGCGATAACCTGGAAGCTTTCGTGCTTGCTGCTTTTGGGTCTAGGATTTGGTGCTATCTTGATCAGCATGTTATGGCTTGCTGGAAGACGCTGCTGCTAGGTTGTTTTGGTTTGAAGCCTGTGTATTGCTTCCATTTTCATCGGAATGGAACCAACATCAATTTCAGCAATTCCCTCAACAGAAAAACATCAATTTTAGTGATGTTTAGTGACATTTGGTGAAGCATATATAAAGATGAACATGGATCAATCATTCAGAAATGTATGATGGTGTATCTGCAGTTCTTTTTCCGGATTGAACAATTAGCACCGGAGAATTACTAAGTGTCCAAGATAATGATAAGTTTTATCTCTGATTTTTTTTACCATCTCACGTCCTTTAGCGAGCGAGTCCAGTGGGCAGGCTTCAATAGGCTGCAGCCTGCCCTCCAGAAAAAGCAAAGTTTTTTTTACTACTAGTTTGCATCGGCCCCGACCAACTTCTCCACTGCCCAGGCAGAGCCCATGAGGAAACCTAGCGACCAGTTCTGTATGCGCCGCTCCTTCCACTCTCGTTCTCCCGTGCTCCTGGTTCGAGCGAACCTGACGCGCCGCGGCCTACCCACGCAGCGGCAACCTTCGCTCATCCCGCCCTCTGGCTCTGGCCATCCCCGCCTCGCCATCCGGCCGTCAACGCACCCACCTCTTGCAAGAGGCTCCACGATGCGCGCGGAGCGCATCCAGCAGGCCGTCCCGTAGCATCAAGTGTGGCGGGCGTTGGCGACCTCCCCGTTGGCTCTTGGCTGGAGAAGCGGAGGCGCCGGCAGCCGGAGCTACGATTCGGCTCGCACAACCGCACGCTGCCACTGGCGCCACGCCCTGCTCCGAGGAGGTTGCGACCCATTGCTCGCTGCATCCAGTTGTTTAATTTCTAAATTATTGGCTTCTGTTGATTTCTCTATTAGTTAGTCTAGTGTTAATTACAGTTTGTCTGCAAGTTCATGAACTATTAATTTATTTAGTGCCAGTTACAATTTGTTTGCGGATTTGAAAATGAAGAGAAAGACTATGGATATGCATAGTTTTTTTGCAAGCAGTTCAACCCCTCCCCAAAGGCCTGCTTCAATCCCTACTGATGTCGAACTTGAACTTGACCCAACCAATGTGACTGCAAACCCCCTCCGCTTAATTGTTGTGAGCACAATCCCTCCTGAACCCACAAATGAACCAACAAATGAACCCCCAAACATTGAGAGGAATCAGACCACAATTGATGAGAGTACAAAGCAACCAAGGCAACCTATACCAGAATTTCATCCAAGTCAAATTATTTCAGATCTAGGACTTAGAATACCAAGAAGATTATGCTCCTGAAATTAGAAGTGATGTGAGAAGAGCTTATTTGTTGAAATGGCGAAATAAAGCTATTGGGCATAATTTCGAGAAGACAAAGGATGGTAAAATTTGGAGATCTTTTCAACCCGCGTGGTTTGACACATATGATTGGTTCGAATATAGTGTGGAAAAGGAGGCCGCCTTTTGCTTCCATTGTTTTCTTTTCAAGAAACCATCACAAGTCATTAGATTTGGAAATGTTGTTTTCACAAAAGATGGTTACACTCATTGGAAAACAACCCTAGGTAATTTTAGAAAGCATGTTGGTGGTCCATCTAGTTACCACAATCTTGGATGTGAAAGAAAGCTTGCATGACATGAGGGATAATGGGTGGGAGTCCTTATTCTGCCAAACCAAGAACTTTTGTGAAACACATGATATTGATGTGCCAAACATGGATGATCTTGTTGGAACTATGGGTCAATCGGTTCGCTCTAACAATAAGGTGACTCGACTGCACTATTACAAGGTTAGCATATTCAATGTTGCCATTGATGCAACTATCACTGAGATGAATCACCGATTCAATGAAGTTACCACCGAGTTATTGGATTGTATATCTTGTCTTAATCCAGCAAACAACTTCTCAAAGTTTAACGTCGACAAACATATTTGACTTGCTGAAATTTATGATGAAGACTTTACAGAAGTTGACCGGTTGTTGCTACGAGTAGACCTCCCAAGATTCCTTATGAACATTAGGAGAAGTGATGAATTTAACGGGTGTCGGGATGTGTCCACACTTGCTCAGTTGATGGTTGAAACAACAAAACACACAACTTTCTAGTTGGTATATCCCCTCATCGAGTTGACACTCATTCTTCCTGTGGCCACTTCATCGGTTGAGCGAATATTTTTTGCAATGAAGATCATCAAGACAGATTTGCGCAACAAACTATTAGATGATTGGCTAAATGATTTAACGGTGTGCTACTGTGAGAAAGAGATTTTCAGAAGCATTCATGATGACCAAATCATGATACAATTCCAGAAAATGAGGGATCGGAAAGGACATTTGCCTCATGAGTTTAATGTGATTCCTTAGAGGTATAGATGTCAGTGTTATTAGTTTTAGTATTTAGTTTTGCATGGCTTATTGTTGTATCACTAACAAGTGTGCAAATTTGGACAGATGGTTTGCGGTTGGTGACAATGATGCCTTGTTGTGTGAAGGGGGCACCATTTGTAAGAAGGAACATCTCATTGTCTTTTCTTGTTGCTTCTCTAGTACTATGATGCCTTGTTGTGTGAATTGTATGGATCTTTCTGGTATGGTTAAACATGTTATAAGTATTTGTCTTGAAAATTCATGTTTTGAGCACTAGTTTGGCTGATATTGTCTGTTTAAATTGGCAATACCAAATATTTAGTTCCCAATTCCATATTCTTCAAAAAATTCAGAAAAAATCCAGTAAATCCTATGTGTTTCCAGTAGTATTCTGAGAAAGTTGGAGCATATTTGGCCAAATGGACTATGAGAGAATGGCTATTTAGTTGAGCATATTCAAAATTTTGTTCAAAATTAAATATTTTTAAAAATTTCAGAAAAATTCCACCAAATACTACATGTTTCCAGTAGCATTCTGGGAAAGTTTGGGTCCATTTGGACAAATGGACTAAGAGATATTGGCTATTTAGCTAATCAGATTCAAAAATTTGTTCAAAAAAAATATTTTTCAAAAAATCCAGAAAAAAATCAAGTAAATACTACATGTTTCCAGTAATATTCTGGGAAAATCTCAGCTTATTTGGACAAAAGAATTATGAGACGATGTTGTTTTTCTTCAAGCAAACGTTCCGTTTTTTTTGCGGTTAACTTGAGCCTGCCCTCCAATTTCTTTCTGGATTCGCCACAGGCGGGACGTGAATATGTTGACGTCTGCTGTACATTACTAATGTTTGCCTTTTTTTCTTCAACTTATCAGCATGCCGAACAGCAGCGGCGCGACTGTGCTCGACGGCCAAGCCAAGTGGCTCGTTGTTGGCCAGATCTTCATCTGGCTGCCTTCTAGAAACGTACTCCGATGCCGCGTCGTCTGCAAGTCGTGGCTCATCGGTATTTCCACAGACGTGTTCATCCTCGACCACCATCCCTGTCAGGCCTCGCTTCTCATCATCAAACATGGAGATGGCATCTACGCTTTTCCGTCCTTAGTGTTGCCAGTGCAGAGCTTCTATTAGTAGATGCGGCCGGTCATATGATGCACATTTGACACAATTATACACCATGCCGTCTATGATGGCCTCCTCATCTCGTCGTAGCAATCCGATTTCTATATATGCAACCCAGCCACCCACAAATGTGCGTCCCTGCCACATCCTCCACGACGGCCAGGCATGAGCTGTTTCAACATGGTCAGTCTTACCGGCACCTCACACATCTGGAGAACACCTGGTGCTCTGGGTATCATACTCGATAACCACCAGGAGTGACATCATAGTAGAGTTGCCTGATTACTTCGTGCTCACGGTTGGTTCGGACCAGCCAAGATGCATTAAATGGCGGACTATTTCAGAAGAAGACTTCACCACTACCTGGTTTCCCCACTGTCCACCAGTCCACCATCGTGGTAGCCTGCACTGAGCAACGAACCTCAACATATTGACACCATAGCGAGACATTCTGGCAGATGAGCTGCCCAGGACAGTTGCGATCTGCGTAGCTTTAGATGTTTGGTATTTCAGGATTATGATGTCGAGACCTAGGGCATTCGATACCAGATTAACTTGTTAGAGACAGAGGCATCACCACCAATTAATTTGGAGATGGGG